TACCATATTGAAAAATATACTATTTTTGTATGATAATTATGGGTTTTGTATTTTATTTTAATAGAAGTTGATGTTGCTTTTGCAATTATCCATCAATTTTTTAAAATTAAACACTATCTACAGATTTGCATCGAAGCGTTTCTTATGATAGTGATTTTAATCACTGTCAGATTAAATCTATACTGGACCCTACTATGCAATGTCTCCACTATGCCGCGACCTCACTGTGCTACCGTTTTTAAGTATTGAAAAATGAATTATTAAAATAGTTTTAATGTTCATTAGGGTGGCCTTCAAAAATCGAATGTCTTTTTTTTTTACGATACCCCTTAATTTTTTTTTAATAGTCAAAAAAATGAGCTGTGCAAAATTTGAGATCGATCCATAAAGGTTAACCCATGCCCCAGGGCCTATAAAGTTGAGTTGATGAGGCAAATTTAATAGAAATAACTGATCTATGTCTCATAACTTTTTTTGCTTAACTTAGAATTATGAAAGTAAAACTCAAATAAAAGAAATTCAAAAATAATAATTTCAATGTAGTTTTCTTAATAAATAGCCCAAAAAAACACTACATACAGTGAAAAACATTTAAAAGTCTTAAAAATATGTTATAACGGATTTTGTTGATTTTTACTTATTTATTTTCATTTTATTCTTTGGAAAACGCATATTCGTTTAAAAAATGTTCTAAAAGTTTAATTTTTTATGCCAAATACGTTAATTATATTAGATTTATTATTTTATGGACAGTTAATTAATGATTAATTACAAACCTAATAAAATGTATTGTATTATTACATTTTCGATTAAAGATAATAATTTATTTTTTGGTTATAAGTTGTGCTTTTTGATTAATACTTTTTTACCACTAAATTATATCTAATTGAGATCTCCCTGCAAGTGTATAATCTGAATGTTAATCATATCTTAGAAAACAATTCTGATTTTATTATAACATAATTTTTTTTATAAAATATTTTACTTGTTATTAAAAATTTTTAATTTATTTTGTTTATAATAATAATAACTTTAAAAAAAAATATTTTACACAATCATTAAAATAGAAAATTCAATTACATTAAATTACAAATTACTTTTTGTTAATGTACTTTTTTTACAATTAGGAAATTTTTTCCGATAATCGTTTAATATTTGTAAAATGTATTGTTTCTGCTCTTCATTTGTTGTTAATATATTGTAGTAGTCTTCGATTNTACTATTTGTAAAACGTATTGTTTCTGCTCTTCATTTGTAGTTAATATATTGTTGTAGTCTTCGATTAATTTAATCCCACGCTCGGCTGTATCATTAACGACTCGTAATTTGCTTATTGTATTTAAAGCATTTATGTAATTATTGTTCGCACTCCAAAATGACGGATCAATTTTCAAAAAATCAATATTCAGATTAAATAGTTTAAAAAAATCTAACGTTTCTTTTGATACAAAATATTCAATATCTTTTTTTACAAAATCGGCTATATCGGATTCGTTTAATTTCAAACGTTTCGATGTCTGACTTGACGTTGAATTAAGTTGAGCGACCATTTTTCTTTTAATATTAACATCTATTTTATTATCAAAAAATGCCAGGCCCATTGATTGTGGACTTAAGTACCATAAGTAATTTATAAATTTAGAAAGCGCAACTGGGGATATTTCACTGTCTATTAATCTATAGTTGTATAATTTTTTAACAAAATTCTGGTTCTATCATTTCTTTAATATTACTTTCAAAAATATAGGGTTTAAAATTTTCTTTATTTAAATTATTTCAAGCCTGCTGAAATCGCTTGAAAATTGCTACGTCTTTACCAGTAGAACAACTAATTTTATTATCGAAAATGCTTCTGAGTATAATTCCAAATATATGGTGGCGGCAAGGTAAATAATGTAATTATTTTTTTAAGAGTCGTTCCAACAAAACACAAGTACCTCCTAAATGACCACTATTTACAGCAGTTGTATAGAAAGATAACTTTACTGATTTATTTATGTTCCATTGGATTAAAGTTTCATATAGCATTAATGCTTGATTTTTAGCTGTCCCTTGTTCTAATATTGGTATAGCGAGAAGTTTTTCGGAATCACTATTGCTAACAATTATTGACATTCTATCAATTATTTTACTGTCTACTAAATCTGGGAGAAGCTTACCATCCCAGTGTAACACTAGAGCATTTAAATCGGAATCATTAAATTGATTTTTAATTGAAGATGCCCTCTCTTTTCGTAAGATTGCTCGACAACGTTGAATTGACGATTTATTAATAATAAAGTCATCAATGTTCTCCCCTAACGCTTCAACAACAGCAACAAGTATGTGTACAGCAGCTCTATCGCTTATTTTACGACTGTCCATAACACAAACTAGTTTAGGAGTAATTATTTGTCGTTTACCTTTCAGCTTTTTTGGTGGTGGCAAATCATAACTATTATCAGTATCATCAGTATCGGTGTTCTCACTTAATGTAGCGGATGCCATTGAAATGTCCAAATCTAAAAATAATTTAAGTCATAAGTAATATTATTTTTTATGTAAATTTTTAGATAATTTAAATTTTAATTCAACATACCGTGTAAGACGATTATGCTTTCAGTTTCTATTTCTTCGTTATCATTATTATAGTTAATCTCATTAGAAATTCCATGCAAAAATCCTGGTCGCCCTTTTTCTCTTTGACTTATCAGAAATAGTCTATCTTCATCTATTTTTATAAGGCTTAAAGCATCAGTATGTGTAATATCAAACAAGTTATTAAACTTTAATGTAAAAGCATCTACTTTTCCTTTGTGGCTAACTGTAATTCGACCAGCGTGTTTTTGTAGAAGTCGCCACTCTTCACACAAACGTTTTATTTTTTCAAAACAATTTCTTTCCAACATAGTTGGGATCCGCGTCTTATCCCAAAAAATCATTACTTCGCGTAAAACTAATAATGCACTTTGACAAACACTTCATTTTACAACTCTTAAATTAAAAAACAATGTTTTCAACACTTGTAAATCAGATGGTAATTTACCACCAGTTATTTCGTGGGAATAATTACCAATAAGATAAATATTAGTTCGAAATACTTTAAAAGACATCTTTAAGAGCTATAATATTGCACCTTTGTGACTAAAACTTATCATTTAATATGTAACAATAAACAGGTAAAATATGATTAAACGTGTCCACAAATTGTCTGCTACATTTATACCGCAAAATTTATGTCAGTCGAATAAAAATAACACAAATATGCTTATCTTTAATGATAATACAATTAGAATTATCTTAAAGCAATTCAGTAAACCAAAATTTATACAGTAATATGACAAAATTTAATAATACAATAAATTTTATTAGGTTTGTAATTAATCATTAATTAACTGTCCATAAAATAATAAATCTAATATAATAATCGTACTTGGCATAAAAAATTTAACTTCTAGAATCTTTTTTTAAACGAATATGCGTTTTCCAAAAAATAAAAATNAATAAGATATCCCTATCGACAGTTGTCATTTTACCATCTTTGCGATCACTACTTTTGCCTGATAATTAACTTAACTTCGCTACACCGTATATTATAGTGTGTGTGTGTGTGTGGCCGTCAGCTCCCTGTTGGATTATAACATCTCTAGGTGTCCAGCAGGTTGTATTATCCATTTAATATTTCAATTGCTTAATAAATATTTATTTATATCGTTGTTAACCTAAAGTGTTATATATATATATATATATTGTAGTGCGACCCTTGGTAGTTCCTCTAAGAGAATATAAATTAAATAGGAAACTTCAGTACCTAAGGTAGATATAGCCTAGCCAGCTATCCCCCGTTGGTCCCTTAGAATACTGTCGACAGGCATTTAGGCTAAACCCCTAAATAGCGACGTAACAGAACTATAGTAAAATATGAGTCAGCATATGAGAAGGGGTGTGAAATACGACTTCAAAATTTTAAAAATAAACAATTTGAGGACCAAATAAATGCAATATTATGTTCCAAAAATTAAAAAAAAAATAAGTTAAAAATTAAATTTTTAACCATAAATTTGGAATTAAGTTTAATACGTGTAGCTCAATTAAATTATTTATTAGTTATATATTCAGTTTGTTAAGGTTGTTTTTTTATATTCAAAATTATTAATGTATTACCATATTTAACATTGCCCAATTTGACGAGAACCATTCCTGGAGAATTCTCTATAAACAAGAATAAATATATAATGATATTTATAATACTAATATATTTATTTGACTTATTGATATTTAGTTATTAATTAGCTTTTATTGAATATTACAAAAATTTTAAAATGTGCAGGTTCGTTTAGAGGTATATACACTTAAAATTTAAGAATTTACGAAATTAATAATTGTATATGTAATTATACATCTGTTATATAAATTAAAAGTCTACAAATATTAATCACTAAATAGCTTGGCCATTTACCAATCAAGATTTTATTTTTTTATTTATTTAATAAAAGATCATAGAGCAACAAAGGCATACTTTCGAGGGTGGCAATGGGCAAGTGTACATTTTTTTTAGTGCTGTAAGTAATTTTTAGATACAAACTACGTATATAATGTGCTTAAATTACTAGTTTTGTCATTGATTAGAGTTTGGCATCTCGGACATGATCTATTGGTTTCTAACCATTCGTCTAAACATAGTTTACATGCGTAATGTTTACAGTTAGATAAATAATACACGTCGTTGCAAATATCTTCGTAACAATAAACGCATTCTTCAAAATATATGTAACAAAATAAAAAATAAAATATTACAATACTAATATTGAAAATTTTTAAATATTCAACACAAATTTGTGCAACGTAAGCATTGGCAATCTAGTTTTTGTTGATTTGGTGGTTCATTATAGGTTCACGAAATTCAATACGATAATTCAATTTAAATGTTATTATGTTATTAGTTATTATGCAGGGCCGGATTTACCTACAAGCTANTTAAAAGTTATTATGCACAGGGTCGGATTTACCTACAAGCTAAATAAGCATTGCTTACGGCCCTCGAAAAAATACGGCCCGTAAAATGTCCGGCATATGAAAATAAAAAATATATTATATGACTAGCTGACCCGGCAAACGTTGTTCTGCCATATGAATTATCAAATAAATCAAACCTAAATATAAATCATTATCTTATATCTGACAAATATATGAAAAAAATTCATTAAAATCGGTCGAGCCGTTTCAGATAAATACGGGAAGCCCGCAGATAATGAAACTCAGTACCATCAGCCGAGGGCCGTCGATAACTCATTAAAAATAGGAATACTAATAAGTAATAACAATATTAGGACTTTCTTATCTGTACACCGTACAATATCATTATAACATGTTACATGATATTATGTATGNCATTACACGAAATTCAATACGATAATTCAATTTAAAAGTTATTATGCTCAGGGCCGGATTTACCTACAAGCTAAATAAGCATTGCTTACGGCCCTCGAAAAAATACGGCCCGTAAAATGTCCGGTATATGAAAATAAAAAATATATTATATGACTAGCTGACCCGGCAAACGTTGTTCTGCCATATGAATTATCAAATAAATCAAACCTAAATATAAATCATTATCTTATATCTGACAAATATATGAAAAAAATTCATTAAAATCGGTCGAGCCGTTTCAGATAAATACGGGAAGCCCGCAGATAATGAAACTCAGTACCATCAGCCGAGGGCCGTCGATAACTCATTAAAAATAGGAATAACTAATAAGTAATAACAATATTAGGACTTTCTTATCTGTACACCGTACAATATTATTATAACATGTTACATGATATTATGTATGTACTTGTGATCAGAACGATTGTTTGACGATGGCGAGAATCAAAGTCATAAATATTTATAGTGAATGATAAACTGTATAGAGTACTATGGTCTATACGTATATCTGTATAACAGTTGTGTTTTAGTATTTAAATAGGTTTAAGTGTGGTCCAAGTAAATTTATTTTTTTGAAATACCGAGAACAATGTCAAAACCGAAAGGTGGTTGGGAAAAGTTCAAAGAAACTCAAAAGAAAAAGAAGAATGAAGCAGACTTTCTAAAAAAAGTAAGCCCTCTTACAACGTTTTTTATACCTAAACATACTAATAGTGAAAATACCAATAATAAAGAAGATAATATTATAAATCCTAGTACATCGGACTCGCATAATGTCCTAAGTTTACCTAATTCGATCACTGGTGCTTCTTTTAAAAGTATTGAGTACTCTAATGATCCCGGAGATTGGAATTTAACATCTGTGGCGGTCGAATGTTCTAGAATGTTGGGCCGCCACCGCCTCTAGAAGATTCGTCGCTCTACATAAGCGTGTGGCGATCGAATGTTCTAGAGAGTTCCGCCGCCGCCTTTAGAAGATTCCTCTGACTATTTAAGGGCAAGATCGTCGCTCCAGTCAATCAATCGATTAGTCAATCACTTACGCATTCTGTCTTAAACGCGCTTCGTCTCTCGCTGTTATTTGTTAGTTCGTTGTAATATAGTATAGTTGTTATTAAATCGTAAAAGTGTTTATTACTTCTACATATTACACCTAGCTACATTGGTAACCTCGACGATAACAAGTATGAACGCCGAAGAACTACGCAATCAATTGGAGGAGTTACGCCAAGAAAACGCTCGCCTTGCAGCACTACAGGCACAGCAATATCCAACAGCTTCAGTGAATTGCGTTGCCGTCAAGTTGCCACCTTTCTGGTTCGAAAGACCGAGCTTATGGTTCTCACAGGTTGACTCGCAGTTTGCAATCTCGAGAATAACAAGTGAGGAAACAAAATTTAGGCTCCATGCAAGTATCAGGAAAACTCCAACGACAGTCAGTAGCGGCGGCAACAGACTGTCCGAACCCGAGCAGCCGCCTGTTTGTTACAGATCAAATAACAAAACGCCAATTTTTAGTCGACTCCGGTTCCGACTTATCTTGTTACCCTCAACGGCTACTACGGGAACGACGCCATGCCACCGATTACGACCTCAGCGCGGCCAACAACAGTACCATAAAAACTTACGGGACGGTCCATCTCAATTTGAATTTAGGACTTCGACGCAGTTTCCCGTGGAGTTTTATTGTCGCCGACGTGAGTACTCCTATCATTGGTTCCGACTTCATGGCATACTACCACTTGCTGCCGGATTGCCGTACCAAACGTCTTATTGATGGTGTCACAGGCTTGGCTGTGAATGGTAAGGTTTCCTCTGTAAATCAATGCAGCATAAAATCAGTTGCCAACACTTCTCCTTGGGCTGCACTTTTAGCAGAATTTCCGGACATCACACGTCCCACCGGATTGCCCAGGACAATAAAACATCAAACAGTGCACCACATTCTTACGACACCTGGTCAGCCAATAGCCTGCCGCCCACGCCGCTTAGCTCCAGGTAGACTTAAAATCGCCAAACAGGAATTCGCGGAAATGGTCAAGGCAGGTACCGCTAGACCTTCAAGCAGTCCGTGATCTTCACCATTACATTTAGCACCGAAAGGGGAGAACAGCTGGCGTCCTAGCGGTGATTACCGCGCGCTGAACGCCCGAACTATACCAGACTCCTATCCAGTCAGACACATACATGATTTCTCGCACAACCTGGCTAATTGCACGCTATTTTCCACAATCGATCTGGTAAAGGCTTACCATCAAATACCTGTTAATCCGGACGATATATGCAAAACAGCCATTACCACTCCATTCGGACTTTACAAATTTCCTACATATTACACCTCGCTACACATCCCATAATTTTATCTTACTTAATAGAAAAAGAGCCAAAATTTTTTCAAAAAATATATGCTGTCTTTTCCTTAACAAAAAAATATTATGAAAATCCTAAAGTAAATCGTTGTTTGAACAAAACTGCTTTTTTCTATACAAAGCTTAATGGTGATTATTGTAATAGAGAATGGTTACTTTATTCGCCGACTAAAAAAATGATATATTGTTATTATTGTATTATTTTTTCTAAAAATGATATTATGTGTGATGGATATGATGGTTGGCGAAATGTTCAAACATTTCTTGAAAACCATGCGAGATAAGGAAATCATGTTTTGGCAATTAGTATGTACCTAAATAGAACGAAACTATCGGGTTGAATAGATAGTGAATTAGAAAAACAGTTAACTGAAACACGCGACTATTGGAAATCATATTAAGGCGCATAATTGAAACAATATTATTTTTATCGGGACGTGGTTTACCATTTCGAGATTCAGACGAACACTACGGGTCAAATCGTAATGGAATTTATCTTGGAATATTGGAGCTTCTTTCAAAATTTGACCCATTTTTACCCCAACATATTGCAGTACACGAAAATCGAGGGAAAGTACACACATCTTATTTGTGTTCTTTATTTATATTTTATCAACTAACTATTATTTTGAGATACGTAAATAATGATGGACCAGTAGAACGTTTCATTACTTTTATTCATATAACAAGTCATACTGGTGCAAATCTTGCTTTGTATTTACTTAACTTTTTGAAAGAAAATGATATTAACATAGAAAATTGTCGTGGGCAGAGCTATGACAACGCTAGCAACATGAGTGGGACTTATACTGGTATGCAAGCAGAAATAAAAAAGCGCAATTCATTTATTGATTATATTCCGTATAATTCCGAACATATTATATAACATTTTGTTGTTTGTAGTATTCACTCCCCCCTAAATTTGGAAAAAGACTATATATAACAGAAAACAATAATCTTCATATATTTTATTCATGTTTCTTATATTTATAAAATAATTAATTAGGTCCATCTGTATCATTTGCTTACGGCCCCCAAAGTACTTAATCTGGCTATGATTATGCAGAATTAATATGAAAAAAAAACGGTAGCAGAGTGCCATTGCAGCATAGTGTGGACATGGATAAAAATATTAATAAACCAATTTATTGTTCTAAAATATTTATAAAATAAATCATAATATTTCACAATGTTAATGTTATGTATTGTGCTGTAATATTAACTTAAATTAAGTAACTTTTTACTTACTATTTGAAAAACTAGAACTATCATCTACAATTAAATATAGTACAATTATTTTATTATTTTAAATCGCTAAAAGTACTCAAATTTAAGACCACTATTATTATTAGTATTAAGAAATTATTAATTGTATATCCAAAATTTTTATTTTCATTAAAAATTACAAAAAGTTTTAAATGTGAAACAGTATTGTTTATAAGTCTAAAAATGATTTTTGGGTGTATTCATACATAATAATAATAATAATAATAAATATGCAGTTAATTAAAAACGCGATCAAAAATAATATTAAAATTGAAGGATACATGAAAATATTAATTGTACATCCATAATTCTGATTTTTATTACATTGACGGTTCATTACAAATTCCCGAAATTCAACATTTATGCATTTATAATAGTCCTTAATTATTATTTATATAGTTNATCGCGGACAAAAATCTGACATTAGATTTTATATATATAAGATATAAATATATAATTTCTTGGGAATAGGACGCAGCTTTCATAATGATCACAAAGGTTTTTTATCCCCTCCTATAGCAAAAGTATTAAACCGCCATTGAGCATCGCTAGGATTCAGTGCAAGCTAAAAACAAATAGTATTATTCCAATCAATTATAAAGTACGTACTCTGTAGGTACTTTATAATCACTATTTTTTTTTATTAAATAGGTAACAGTATTATTGAATTTTTTGATAAAGAGATATCTTAAGAATAAACAATATTCGGCTTCAAAAAAAAACGTGACCTAATATAGTTAATATACCATGATATGACTGATATACTTTATTTAAAAAAATTAAAATTGAATTTTGTAATGAATTTGAATAATAAATCAAAATTAAATATACCTAAATAATTTGCATAATTTTTTATACAAAAAATCGTTGACAGTTTTTTTTTACTATGCGGTAAATAAATTCCTTTAAATTCTTCTAGTTGTCACTTTTATGACTTTCAAATAAATGCATTTAATAAATGCAGCAATTGGCTCAATTTTAATAATGTCAGTCTATTAACACAAAAATATTAGCGTCTAAAAAGAGTTTTAGCTTATCATAATTACCATCTGGAGAACTTTCAAGAGGTTCTATTTTGATACAAAAACACACTGTAAAATAGCAAAAAATATGGTTTCATAATTGCATTATTAATTAAACTTATTCTCTATGTTATTTACATATTAAAAGTTTTCATTGTTATACACAACACAAAATTATAATACCTAGACTTTTTTTTTTTTTTTTTT